CCCCCCCCGTACGCCGTGTATTGCTTCGTTTACTACATCTATTGCGTCTATATATGCCCTTAATTCTAATGGGAAATTCAAGTCACAGCTGGTGCGCCATAACTTGTAGCAACACCTGCTTGTTGTAATTAAGTCATTACCATTAAAAAGTTTTCTGTTCACACAGTGAAGGACTGAACGAGCTCGAGCTATAGGTACAGACCGTTGGGTTCACAAGAAAACCCGGGGAGGGAATATTCAGGCAAATTAAAAGTGGCGGGGAAAGCACTCGGGAACAACAAACAAAACGTTAGGGTAGAGGAGGCCATGGGGATCAGAGGGGCCCGTCTAGAAAGAAAAGTACGCCACAAACCCAATACACAATACTGCAAAAATTACGTTCACAGCTCATCAACAGGTGCAAGCACTGTCCCTTCAAATAAAAGAAGCAATTAAAACTTGGAGTCGATATTTAATCCGTTTTAATGTGCTTGTGGAGAAAGGGAGACCATCAGGGGATATTAGCGACATTGCTTTTAAGACGCTGCTTTATTAAACAATCGACTCCAAGAAACTCCACGATGTGTCTTTTATACATGGATGATCTATTATCGCTTCCATCTCAGAAGGATTCAGTGCCAGTTCACCGACAAAGTTTTAATTACGTACAATTATGTACAAATATTTCTAATATTCCAAAGTGTTTCTAGTTTCATTTTCTCGTTTCCATTGCCTTGGTAACTTGTAAATGTAGAAGACCCTTACTTACATTAATCACCTCCAGGTTGCTAAATTCGATGTCCTCTGACACTTAACACTCACCTCACAGGTTTATAGTGGGGCACCAATGAAAATTATGTTTAACAGTCATTAACAGCAGGTACAGACATGCATAATCTCACGCTCGGCTGTCACCTTCACGCTCGGCTGTCACCTTGATTGGTTAGAAAACGATCGTCGTAAAATCGCTACATCAGTACATGATTTAAAAACCGGGTACAAAAACTTTAAAAACACATAAAACGATCTTACAGTGCCATGCTAGTCTAACGTAAAGCAAAAAAAAAAAAAAAATAGTATTCAATTTATTCAAAAAGAATGTCCCTTTTAAGGATTAAAATCCCCATAGAGTCCCATATAGTAAAAAAAAAACACTAACAGACTCAATTACACAAGGTCGCATAAAGATACCTAGAGTCAAGGATAATTCTAAGGGACCAGCATAGGATTCAAATGACTGCGCATGCGCAAAAAGCGCGATGTTTGAAATGTTGAAACTGATAAAACCGCGGATGCGAATTGAGGGCGTCTTCTGGGTCTTCCGTAAGACGGCCTGAATTTTTCTTGTTTACATTGACGGTGATCTATCTTTTTTCTATTTGAAGGCGATCAAAATCATCAAGATTTTTGACGATCTTCTTAATTTGACAGTGACGCTATTATATTTCTTGTCTTTTGTACCAACTTAAGTGGCATTAGACGTCATGAGAATATGGTCGTCTCGAGCGTTTTAGATCATATTAAATCTTGAAGCTTGCCCATGATCAGGCATTAGTTTTGGAGAAGAAAACGTGCTCAAGAAGAAAAACTTTGAAAAGAACTAAACCCAATATACTGGTAGAGTTGCAAATGAGGTATGTTTGATTATTTAAGGTTCCCACGTGAAGATGGATTACTTTTTTTTCAGAAAAATTGAATATTATTAAATTCAACGTGCTTTAAAATGTGTGTGTATGGTGTGTGTGTGTGTGTGTGAGAGAGAGAGAGAGAGAGAGAGAGGTGGGGGGAAGTAGAGGATGGGCCAACCAAGTTAATTTGAGGGAAGAATGTCAGAAAATATCTCTGGTTTTATTATAGAAATTCGTGTTGTAACGGTTCCAAACAATAGGATCACGTGCCGTTACAACACAATAATGTAAATCGTCCGACTGATTTTCACACACTAGTGTTGATTTGTTGTCACGTCACAATAACGAAACCCAACTTGTTGGTTTAAATCAATAGGATTTTTACTTCAAAGCAATAGCAATTTCATTTACCAGCATTTCAATATAGTGATTACATGCTGTTACGTTACATAGTTACGTAACCCAACTAATTCTTTTAAAAATAATTGGGCAATTGAATTTAAACCTAGTAGAGTGTTGGTATTTCAAACAACATGGTTGTAACCTCATAACTACGTATTGTTCTCCTCAAAGACCTCCTAACGGGGTATACTTCACGTGCACATGCATATACTACTATTGTTAAGATTGAATATGACAAGGATCTACACAAGTTCCTAAATTTTCTGGGATTTGTAAATGGTAACACGTACATGATACATAAATCTAAATATCTATTAAGTAAAAATTAAATGTCAAACCAACATGACAAGGATCTACACAAGTTCCACAACCTTTAATTACTACGTTTATCTCGGATTTGTAAAATTATTTCCCCAACATGGTATATAAATCTGAACATATTTTAAGTAAAATTTAATAGCAAACTAGCTCTAACTTGCACATACATTTTTATATTACTCATGTTTCCGTTAACTCAGTTCTTGAGTATGTATACATTTGCAGTCTTTTATTGGAATTTAGCAGAAATCAAAAACCTGGACCTTTACTTATAACTGTTCATATGAACATGAGAGAAAAATATCCTCCCTAAATATACTGTTATGCTGTTATGCAAAAAATGATAAGAAATGAAAACATATTTTAGGCAACGTTGAGTGCCCGCTGGGAGAGCACCCTTACAAAATATACAAGATAAAAAATTGGGTCCACAAATACTCTCAAGTAAAACCAAATGTTTATGAAACCAGGAATTAGTGGCAGCAAGAAGAGTTGCATCATCATTCCAAAGACATGGCCAAGGATGGACTCAAGACTGAAAACAATAAATGAGAATAGTTTTACTCATTTGCATTTTTCATGTGACACGATAGTTATATCCCCCATAAAGTGTTTTATGCATTCAAATGTGATTGAAATCTACAATATCTATATCAAATATTATACATACATGTAAGTGCACGTCCACGACACTGGGTAACAAGATTGGAACATGGGCAACATGGCGCCGATCTTGTAAGCGCCAGGGGGTGGAAACGCGCTACTTATGTGATTATTACCCTCTACCAGGGTGAGTGATAAATTTTTAAAAGATATTCACAGATATGTCTCTAGCTAGATAGATGGTCATTTTCAGCTAAACTCACCCATTTGAAAAATCCCATTTGAAAACAATTATCTCTGCGCGCGCGCCAAAGGCTTTGTACTTGCTCTGCATGAGCTGAGCTTCACAACCATGTGATAACTGCTCGTTACGCAACCAGTCTAAGGCTTTTTTATCTGTCACAGAAGAGCAAGTGATTGAAGTCAGAGTAATTAACTGTCTTGATTGCTGTCACGCAGACTTAGACTGGACCTGCTAAGTGGCAGTGCCTGAGCAGTTATGCAAACTATTATCAGCTATGTAATCAGCCTTGATATTCCTCAACAGGGTGAGTTTAGCTGAAAACGACCATCTATCTAGCTAGAGACATATCTGTGAATATCTGTTAAAAAATTTATTACTCACCCTGGTAGAGGGTATATGATTATGACGAGCCTAAACGTCACCTGGTACCGGATATAGGTTTGTGACCTTGATGGGCAATTAAGCTTGGTCTTTGCAGCACGCATGAACAGTAGTCGATTTACCACACCTGGGTCTTTTGTTTTAGACAACTGTTCACTCGTCAACGAGGTGCTTGTTCAAGACTACAGACGGACATCTACTAGTACTACCAGTGGCTTCATTAGTAACGTTCCCACAATTCACGGTTTTATGTCTGTGCGTACTTACCCTGAAAATGGCCAGTTTCACTGACGAGAACAATGGACGTTTCTCACCCCTCTCTAGGATTACTCCTGTAAGCGCGCTTTCCGCATAGAATATGCATCGTGATTGCTTAATATTCAAAACTTTCGTAACATAAAACACACACAAAAATTATTAGACAAGTGTACACTTAACATCCCTGCGCTCCTGAATCGGCGGTAAAACAGCGACGACATGAAATTGTCTCTTGTGTTCACGCTCTCCGTTTATAATTAATATACATCGTATTTTGCTTCATATTCATAATGTTTGAAAAACGTAACAATTAGCACATTCAAAATTATCAGGGAAGAGCACACTATGACTTAACTTCACAGAGTTGGGAAACCTCGCTGCGATCCTGAATCGGCGGCTAAACAGGATGGCATGAAGTCGTTTTTCGTGAGTTACACGCTAAAATGTGGGGATCGGATGTAGCTCATTTAATTACCCTTACGAAAATTTCCTATAGGATTTCCTATAGCATCCTATAAGATTTCCTATAGGATCCTATAGGAATTTTTGTAATAGTCTGAAAATATATTAAAAATCAAAATCATATACTGATATTTAAACCAGATTCATTATTTTTCATTCAACCCGGCCTTATAAAAATTCCCTATATGAATTAGCATAGGATTTCCTATAGGTTCCTATAGAAATTCCTATAAGATTTCCTATAGGATCCTATAGGAATTTTTGTAATAGTCTGAACATAAATTAAAAATCAAAATCACCTACTGATATTTAAACCAGATTCATTATTTTTCATTCAACCCGGCCTTATAAAATTCCTTATATGAATTAGAATAGGATTTCCTATAGGTTCCTATAGAAATTCCTATAAGATTTCCTATAGGATCCTATAGGAATTGTTGTAATGGTCTGAACATAAATTTTAAAAAAATAATTTCAGATTCAATGATATGATACAAAAACATTCCTAATGATAAAATTTTTCTCCATAAAAGATTACTTTACAAATGATCAATTTTTTCAAGATTTCTTTAAAATAGAAATTAAAGAATATGTAAAGAATCCTATAGAAGACTATAAGATTGTGCATTATAAACAATAAAAAGCATTTTTGCTTTAATAGTGATATATAATTGACAATTCAACTGATAAAATTGACCAATATCAAATATCTATTGTTTAGAATGATATTTGTTTATAAGATATGCATTTTTCTCAAGATTTTAACTTACAACAATTTCCTATAGGATCCTATAGGAAATCCTATAGGAAATGTGCCCTATAGGATCCTATAAGATTTCCTATAGGATCCTATAGGAATCCTATAGGATCCTATAGGAAATTTTCATAAGGGTAGTCTCATTTAATATTCATGTGACCGTTTAATTACGTCATCAGTGGAAATCTCCACTCTTTACATGTACGTTGTTTCTGGAAGGGGAGGAAACGAAACAGGTTAGGGTCATATCATCTTTGATTACAGGTTCAGATGACAGGATTTCCTTACAAATTGTTGTTTTATGAAAAGCAGGCTGTATTTCAGATTGAACAATTTGTGTAGTTCATGTGTACAGGTTCAGATGACAGGATTTCCTTACAAATTGTTGTTTTATGAAAAGCAGGCTGTATTTCAGATTGAACAATTTGTGTAGTTCATGTGTACGGGAGATAATACTTTGTACTGAAGTTAAAAACGGACACTATAGTAAAACACAACAGCCCATCTTCTTCACTTATCAAAATTTGCGACGAAGAGCAATATTTGTTTTTTTTTTCTAGTGTGTGTGCAGTAAATGATCCTTGATATGACAACTGAGAGCTTTTTCTTTCATTATGTAGAGCTGCAAAATAGACTGATATGTCTTTCTCACAGATTTAAGCGCTGCTATAGTGTCGTTTTCGGCTAAGAATTAAAAAAAATTAAAAACACAGCAATGTATGGAAACACAAAGTTGTTTGTTATAATAGGACAAATTCACCCCCTTTTAAGTGAAAGCTACCCCATTGTAATCCAACACATAGGAATATTCTGAAATACTTTTAAAGATGATAACCCATTGTTGTTACCCAGTATCGTGGACGTGCACACACACACACACACACACACACACACACACTATATATATATATATATATATATATATATATATGATTGATTGCACTTGTATGTTAAAAGATCTATAAAAGATTAAGAAAATGTAAAGTTTATTAGACAGCTAACCTTAACTTTGACACTGACGAGAATTTTACTTCTAAGGCTTCCTGCACTGTGTAGATGACACAGCTGATAAGCACAAAGCATGAAGTCCACATATGCACAGTAATCCAGTCCCAGGTAAATACAGCTATTAACCAGTAAGGACAAAGAATCAGCTGAGGTAAAAATCTACACCACTGTCCTAATGTAGGAGGAGCCTGAAATTGAGAAGAGATACACTGATGCTATGAATTATACCAACTCCCAAAGTGATGCTCTACTAAAGTTTCTACTTTAAAATGCACATCTCAGAATCTGCAAAAATTAACACTGCAAATAAAATTACACAAATAGTTTCTTCACTTCTGCAACATTAAGTACGCGCGCGTCGCTGTCACTTTTTACCAGCACTTTTTCATTAAAATGCCTTTAAGTGTCTGTATATAAACAAACTCGAAAGGAAAGTTTCTGCAAAATAAAATGGTTTGCACCTACCCTGTTAGCCATCAGCATTTCATCTGAGACATTTTCCACAGGAACGACTTTATGTATAAATGGAAGGAAAGAGTCTTGGTAGTCAAACCAGTATAGATAGAGGAACAGGAGCCTTGGATGATTCTTTATGCCGATCGCTAAAATATTAGTCTTGACAGGATAAAATGCCTGAAAGAATCCCAAGTGTAAATGAATACATTATGCCGAATAATTTGGAAACCCGTGCCCACCAATTGCATTACATGCTGGGTTTTCTCTATTTTTAGTGACATTTGCAGGTACTATATAATATAAAGAGAAAAAACATCAAAAAGATTAAAATTGCAGATAAATCACTTTATACATGTATTAGTTCATGTAAAGTGTATGTTTGAATAAACCTACATGGGCATTATCACTTACCTTGTACTCCCACAAGTTTTTAGGTGGTTTCACACCCAGATGCTGTACTACTTGTATTGCCTCCAGTAGTGCTCTTTTGTGAACTGGTGGAATAGATGTTCCAACTATTAACCCTAAATCGTCTTCTTGTAAGCTGCCCAACAGACGACCATCTGATGAAAAAAGAAAAAGATATGCAGCCACATCTAAACACAACATCAAACCTATTCATCTATATTATACAGCACCATCATTTTTCAACAGCTCACCAATTTTCCCTACGTTATCTCATTTTCATGTCATAAAATGACAGGGCTCCCACAAGTAATGTTAACATTGTCGACGAAGCCCATTGCTCCATGCGATGTCAAAATGGAAAACCATACGCTATTTCACCACACAGTACCCGTAGCATACCATGTACGTAATTTACATGAAGCCTTATATCCCAGTATCAGATTTATACATACTGTATTTCTCATAAACGTATAGTTACTTAAATTATTGATCAAACCTATTTGATGTTCCTTGAATATCCCAGCATACATCTGTTTGGCCCATTCACCATGTTCCCCAATCCAGTCAGCGACCTCTTCCACAGACCACTTCTGCACTGGATTGTTCACCAGCAAAGTACTGCCATCTCCATTAAACCAGCTTGAAGTCAACCATACAAACTTGAATACAAGAGAAATAATAATTGGTAAAATGAAATAAATAATTGGTAAAGCAATCATCTGTGTCTACCCTAGGGATTATCATGTAATATAAATCATGGAATCAAAGATGCAATTGGTTAACTTGGTGAAATAACATGTACGTGTGTGTGTGTGTGTGTGTGTGTGTCAGTTAGTGTGTGGGGAGTGGAAAAGTGGTTAAAAACCAACCATTCTAACGCATAATGATACATGCTGTCATCTTCTAAAATAAAGAAGTTGTAAAACTCCCTCAACCCCCCCCCCAATCCTTTACCAAATGAAAAAATGTACTGATGTTCTGAACATCACTTGTATCTAAATGCCCTTAAAAACTAAGCCCACACCCAGGTGCTGAGGTTGTATACATACCAGTGCAACTGTCAGAAATATGCACAGTGCATAACCATAGCTAACCATCACTTCCATAAAATACAACTTCTCAGCCAGTTCTCGGTTAATTTGTGTGGAAACTTTCTGAAGAATATCTGTGCCTGGAGAAAGCTGCAATTGCTGCTGAGTCATTATTCTGAAAATAGAATAATTCACTGTCATATTACGACTAAATTTGGGTCTCCCAAATAGTTATGACGCTTATTTTCTCAGATCTATTTACTAACACAACTGTACAATTGCTATTTTGTTGTTCATGGGAGCCAGAACAAACTTTTTAAATGAAATATGAAAAAGTGAATGCTATGTGCACAATACCATGTCACCATTTGAAGCTAATGTCATAATGTGCATGGTGTCCCTATTATTTTGCCTACGCTGTATATGTAATAGGGAAGATTGAAATCCAGGCAGAGTTTCAATTTGCCTAGATGGAAATTTCAAACTGGTGTAGGCAGATTTAAACCCACCTGGATCTTAATCTTGATAACAAATCCTGATGACAAACTGGACAGTTTTGTCTCTGACCAGACAGATACCATTGTGCCAGGCAGTGTCTGCATACGTTGTGTCCACAGTTCAATGTTGTTGGATCTATCAACATTTCAAAACAGACAGGACAATTGGAATCCATTTCTGGCATGTCTATGTAAGCTGACATGATAATTCTTCCTTTAAAATTAAAATCCTCCTTGCTTCTTACAACTTCCTGAAAGGCAAATTAATGAAGTACATGTAGTGTTTAAAATTGTTTGATATTGTTCTGAAAAATAGTTTTTGATAATTAACTTGGTGTAACATATTCTATTTTAAAGGTGCAGTGCAAAACCTGCTACTATAATATTAAACAAAATAATTAACAAGACAGGCAAAACACAATTTTTAAAGCTGTACGATTTCTTTCCTAGGCATGGATATAAAATACGAGTTTTGTACACCACTATCAAGCTTTCATCAGTTTAAGTAATTTTCAGCCATTTGCAATGGATAACACCTGAGGTGTTTTAAGTACATTTTTAAAAAGCTTAAAGCTTGGAATTTTAGTTGGAATTTTAATAACAATTGCTAAATATTGGGATTCTGGGCATTTCACACAAATTAGCTTAACCACAAACTTATCTTACCTTCACATTAAAAAGTGTATGATGAGCTGGAAATATGAAATAATTACCAATCAATAGATCAAATGAATAAATCTCCAATTTGAGAGTGTTCAGCCTTCAGCTTGAGCTGTTACAAATCGATATATATATATATATATATATATATATATATATATATAAATATATATATATATATATAACGACAACGAGGTTCTGGAGTCTTCAATCATTTATTCAACACTCTCTTTTCATACAATTTTACCCATATTTATACTGTAATTCTCCGTGCTAATCACGCATGTAATTATGTTCTTTTTATTATTTATGGTGTGATTTCCAGAAACTTTCCGTTGTCATGTTGACTTTACCATAGAACATTCCCTTATTAGGCAATGTCTAAGAGCCTTGTTTTCAACTAAACTTATCAAAAATATTATTTGCATTACTCATACTTGAATCATGCCCAAAACTCAATAATCATGTGATAAACAGTTGATCAAAATTAAAATCCGTTATGAAATTAACCAATCACATTAAATGTTATTGACTTTGACCTTTTCCATCTTTTTCTGACACTAAAAACATGTTCTACACTTGTTGACACTCGATGTAACTTAATTTGCACTCAATATCACTCTAACTTTTCATCTATTTGATTTCCCTTTTATTACTGATTGTAATTAGTGTAAGCATATGTAATTAAATTTACAACATATAGGGCACTATATACTCAATATGATGATTTAATCCGATTAATGGCGAGTGTGGAGGCGGAGAGACCATCAGCGGATTTGTCGGCTCCTCTTTCAAGTAGAGTCAGCCATATTTGATCCGTGTATCAGAAGATCCTCGAATCTTTTATTCTGAATGGGCTTTTAAATTGACATGTTGTCTAGATCGACCTAATATCAAAAGGGGATCCCGACGAGGTAATTATTTAATTGTACATATATAAAATATGAGGAAATATGAAATAATTACCAATCAATAGATCAAATGGATAAATCTCCAATTTGATAGTTTTCAGCCCTTAGCTTGAGCTGTTACTAATCGATATATAGGGCACTATATACTCAATATGCCCTTGTGTGATATGCAGGTGATAGGTGGATATAAACAAAATATGGGTTTAGAATCATGTAGGATTTTTAACAAAGCTTCGTGCTTTTTAATTTAAAACCTGTCTAATTTTGAAAAGGATCAAAAGTTGACTAAACAGAACTTAAAATGCAAACATTTCAGAGACAATCATAAAATTTTTAAAATGTTGTTCTGATAAGACAACTTTGAGCCCATTTAGAATAAAAGAAAAAAGAGCCCACTTATCCGCTGATGGTCTACCCGCCTGAACACGCTCAGTCATTGCAGGGGTTTAGCAATTAAACCTTGGACCCATGATTTAATCCCATTAATGGCGCGTGTGGAGGCGGAAAGACCATCAGCGGATTAGTCGGCTATTCTTTCAAGTAGGGTCCACCATATTTGATCCGTGTATCAGAAGATCCTCGAATCTTTTATTCTGAATGGGCTTTTAAATTGACATGTTGTCTAGATCGACTTAATATCAAAAAGAGATCCCGACGAGGTAATTATTTTATTGTACATAATTGAATTTTGAATCCCTATGAGAGCGATAAGAAATCATACATGTATAAAAACACAATTATTTAATAAAGCATTGTCTCGTTTACTAAGCCTTGAACTATCTGTAAATCTGACTCTTCGTTTTGGGCCTCAGACCTTTCTGCGGGGAATTCTGCAGGAGATTTGTTTATACATGTATGTTTCTTTGAGAACATTTAGAAAAGATGATCCGTGGACTAAATATGACCGAGGACTAAATATGGCAGATACCAAATCAAAGGAAGCCGCTTAATCCCAAGATGGTCCCACGTGCGTCATTAAACTTGTTAAATCTCGGGTCCAAGGTTTGATCGCTAGTCCCCTGCAGAGACGGCGAGTGTGGAGACGTGGAGACCATCGGCGGATTATAAGCGGTTACACGGTACCTTTGACTAGGTGGGCCATATTTGATCCGCGGATCTGTAAGTCCGAGGATCAACATGTTCAATTCATCGTCCTATGCCCAATTTATCGGCCTAAATAGTGATGTTGTAAATCGGCATGCTTTGAGGGAGCACGCCAACATCAACGTAACCTTGTTCGGAATCAAAGACAGCGATCTCGTTATCGTCTGTCGGTGGGCATCTGCTTAGAAAATCTGCAAAAACAATGAGGCGCCCTTGATGTATTCAAATTTTGCGTTGTATTCCGAAATCACCGCGGTCAATCATTGAAGTCTAACGTCTTGTAATTTAGCAGTAAACAAAGCTTTCAGCGGTTTGTTATCTGTAAAGACTAGGTCGTTTACTCCCCACATAGAGGTAGTTTATCTCTTTGTCGACCAATCAATTTTATTTTATTTTATTTTGTCAATTTTATTTTTGCTAAAGGCGCTCCCCTAACGAAAAAGTCCTATAGGATCTTATAGGATCCTATAGGATCTTATAGGATCCTATAGGATCGTATAGGATCCTATAGGACTTTTTCGTAAGGGTCGATAGGCCCGAGGTTGTACCAGGGGCGCGACACCAGTGTCTATAACAATTGGCGTGATGTCATATTTGTAGTGGGTGTCCAGAGTATAAACATCCGCCTACTCAGCACTTAAACTGTCGATTTCGCCGTTTCCGAACGACAGGGGTTACTGCTTTACGCTTTCTAAGCGGTTGGAATCCCGTAATCAATGAGCACATTCAGAGCAGATGATCCGCGGACTAACTGATCCGCCAACTAAATATGATCGATCCCACTTAAAAGCGATGTCGCTAAATCCCTGATGGTCTTCCCGCTTTCACAAGCACCATTAAACGGATTAAATCTCGACTCCAAGGTTTAATTGCTTTTTTATTTGAAGGGATAGTGCTTGCTTCTGTTCATGAGCTGTGAGCGTAGTTTTTTGCAGTATTGTATCCAACTGGGTTTAATGCGTGTCTCTTCGGATAAAAAAACTGTTTTGGCCCAAGGAACATTCATGCCGAGTTAGACATTTGTACTATAAAATGCAGCGTTTGACCCCTTAACAAGCCTACTATATAACGTCCGTTTGCTACTCCCAAATGCCTTCCCCGCCACTTTTAATTTGCCTGAATATCTCCCTCCCTCGGTTTTCTTGTTCAGTCAAAGTGATGGCCTCGAGCGTTGTGGGCAAGCACCTAACCATTAACTCCTCTGCTAAATTTCTTTTTACCAGCACACACACGTACACCCTAACCACAAAACGCTCTGTTTCCCCCTGTCTCTGAAAGGTGAACGGCAGACAGAACGCTCTGTTAGCTCTTTCCCTAAATCTCCCATTAGACCTCGTACGTGTTTCGAATGCTGGCTGCTTCGTACCTCCTAGTTAGAAACCTTTTAATCGCCTGCCTGAGTGTGCACCTCTCGAGTTTCTTGTCACTAACCTAACGATACCCCCGGTACACCATGTATTGGTTCGTTTACTACATCTATTGCATCTTTATATGCCCTTAATTCTTATGGCATATTCCTGTCACAGCTGGGCCCGTATCTCAAAAGCATTATCCCTTCAAATCCCTTCAAATAAAAGAAGCAATGAAAACTTGGAGTCGATATTTAATCCGTTTTAAGGTGCTTGTGGAGGAGGGGAGACCATCAGTGAATATTAGCGACATTGCTTTTAAGACGCTGCTTTATTAAACAATCGACTCCAAGAAACTCCACGATGTGTCTTTTATACATGGATGATCTATTATCGCTTCCATCTCAGAAGGATTTAGTGCCATTTCACCGACAAAGTTTTAATTACGTACAATTATGTAATTACCTCAGTCGATCCCGACAATGTGCACACTTTCATCACCACATGCTGAAGCTAAATATAAAATAATGACCTAAGAATTTTATAAAATGTCTACAATGTTGCGACATACAAATTAGCCCTATACTACAATTTTGTACCCTTCGTCGATCCCTTACCCTGCAAAAATCTTGCAACTGCCAGTGCATACCTGTAAATAGTCACCAAACTGGGGTTTGGGCATTGAGTCTGGTAACTTTTTTTAAATTTGATAGTATTGAACCAGTAGATTCTTATTCTTCTATTTCATAAATATTTCTAATATTCCAAAGTGTTTCTAGTTTCATTTTCTCGTTTCCATTGCATCGGTAACTTGTAAAAGACCCTTACTTACATTAATCACCTTCAGGTTGCTAAATTCGATGTCCTCTGACACTTAACACTCACCTCACAGGTTTATAGTGGGGCACCAATGAAAATTATGTTTAACAGTCATTAACAGAAGGTTCAGACATGCATAAACTCACGCTTGGCTGTCACCTTCACGCTCGGCTGTCACCTTGATTGGTTAGAAAACGATTGTCGTAAAATCGCTACATGATTTAAATATCGGGTGCAAAAATTTTAAAACCACATAAAAACGATCTTACAGTGCCATTCTAGTCTTACGTAAAGCAAAAAAAAAACAAAAAAAACACAAAGATATAAAAAGGTTAATGTATTGAAAACGAATGTCCCTTAATACCCATAGAGTCCTATATTGTCAAAAACACCCATAGCACTCATAGAATCAATTACTTCAAGGCTGCATAAAAGTTACAGTCAAGGATAAATCTATGGGACCAGCAAAGGATTCAAATGACTTCGCATGCGCAAAAAGCGCGATGTTTGAAACGAATGAAACTGATAAAACAGCAGGGGCGAATGGGAGGCGTCTTCTGGATCTTTCGTAAGACGGTCAGATTTTTTTTTTCATATTTACATTTCTATTGGAAGACGACCGAAAATTATCAAGAATTCGTTGACGATCTTCTTACCTTGACAGTGACGGTATTATATTTCGTTTATTTTGTACTAACTTAGCAATAGTCTCGAGCGGTTTAGATTATATCAAAATCTTGAAGCATGTCCATGCTGAGGCATTACTTTCGTGGAAGAAAACGTGCTCGAGGAAAAACTTGGAAAAGACACAAACCCAATAGACCGATAGAGGTGCAAATGAGGTTACAGGCATGCTTTTGAAAATGTTTAGTGCAGAGATTACCAACTGTACTATGTTTGGTTATTTAAGGATCGCACGTGAAGATGGAATACTTTGATTATAAGTAAGTTAAGCAAGTTCAAAGTGCTTTAAAAATGTATGTGTGTGTGTCTGTGTGTGAGAGAGAGAAAGAGAGAAAGCGGTGTATTAGAGTGAGATTGGTGATTCTGTTTTTCTGTTATATGCTATGATTTGCTTTGACTTACTTTACTAGTTAGGGGTGCATGTACTTTTTTGTGACCATTTTATCAGATTCTGATGTATAGCAGATATTTTCTTAAAATCTATCCCTGTGCAGGTTTGGGGAAGAGAGAATGAGCCTGCTGCTTTTATCGTGGCATGTCGTAGGAGGCGACTAAAAGGATATTTGGTGGTGGTATTTATAAGTGTATCTATATTTATTAGTACTTATGTGACATGAATGCTTATTAGGAAATGTTTATATTTATTGTTTTCATTTGATGCCTTTATTGAGTTTCTTTATTTCAGCAGATAACTAATTATTTTCCTCATACTTAAATCATTGGATCTAAAACATTAATCATGTTTTATTTATCCAAATATGTGGATAACTTTTCTGTTCTCTTTTCTGTTTCTTAGTATATATATATTCTCCTTCACGTACAATTCGTCGTAGTGGAAGACGTAGTGGTGGGGCAGGTACGTGTATTTTACCAGTAATTAAATCTTGATTAGTGTCTTTTTACTTGAGTTTGAAAACGCTGTAAAGTCGTTTATTTATTTGTTAGTATAAGTATAGCTGCATCTGTTAAATAAGAGTAACCCGTTCACTTAGCGGTCAGTTCAATATACCAAAGGCTAGCAGGTCGGTCCGCATTTCACCGAATGTCGAAGATGACCACTCCCCTCCACCAAAAAAAGGACTGAGGGCAGTCCCTGTCCATTGTACCTTTTTACCAAAGTGCGGCTAGAAATTTACTTCATGTGCATCTGCCAGTACTAGATGTGTTTTACCTGTTAATACAGGACCGTAGCCAGGGAAGTTCAGGGGGTTCGAAAGAACCCTCCTTTTTGCAGGGAAAAGGTCCCCTCTAGGTTAGTTTTTATCTATGTGAACAAAGGTTTCTTGGTAAAAAGTCCACATTTTCAGAAAAAGACCCCCCCCCCCTTTTGCAAATCCTGGCTACGGGCCTGTAAAACATTATGGGACCATTCAGCTCGAGAAGAGCCGAGTGCTAACTAGGCCGTGACCTAAATGTGGCGGACCACCTGCCTCTCCCTGCAGGGACACAGTAATTAAATCTCGGCTCAATTCAACCGTTCGAGGGAACACCCGTGGGGAGGCGTTTGAGAGGCGGAGAGACTTTTACAGGATTAAGTGGTCTTCCTTTCATGTAGGTCTGCCATATTAAGGTGGCGGGCTAGCTACCACTCGGCTCTTCTCAATCTGAATAGTCCCTGTGTCTTATGTACAATTTTTACCAAGTGGACCTCTGGTGGAGATTATTAATAATTTATTTACAAAACGAATTTGATGCATAGCAGATTGGTTTTATGACTGTGATAAAACACAAAGAAATATCCCACAGCAAAAAGGATGGTCAAGCTCAAAAGCCAAACTCAAATGTTCACATCGTTGAAAATTGTGCAGGAAAGAAAAACTGCACTTTTCATATAAGGATTTATTCTGGGCTCTTTCAGTTTAACTATCTTATCTCTTTAGAAGAAGGCCTCTATTGCCAGGTCTGGGCGAATAAAACTCGTCCAAAAACCAGAGAAATAAGAATGGTTAAAAAAACATAGTGATCACGAAGAAAGAGTCCAAATGTAGCAGATCTACCCGATCTATCTTGCATAACATGCATTGTCACTTTGCGCATGCAACTTCCCTTTGCTGCTTTCAACATATCTAGTCGACAGACCCTGAAGCCAAGGTATTGGTTTCTTTTTTATAACATAATGCGGCTTTACAATTTACACCTGTTTTTTAGTTAATCAATTGTAGAGTATTTTCACTCCCCTGGATATTATAGAGGAATGGGTCTTTGGGTCATGAAAAACATCGATGCCTGAAAGCATTTATAATTTGTTCAGCAGACTGCGCGTTAAGAAAGAAAACATTGGCTTTTTCAAAAGCCTTCCTTTGTATTTTATTACGTAAAAATCTAATAGCTGTCTCCACACAGCACCCTCGCTATCGGTGCATTGTAAGCAAGTTAAAAAATGGAGATCGAGACAATGGATGAGGTGATTATCTAAGGAGAATTTTTGTGCTACAATACAGGGGGTTGTTTTTCTATGGACGACCAGGATGCGGTTACCTTACAACAGGAGACACAAGGTTTACATAAAGACAACGAAGTCACGGTCACCGGGTAATGTAAACTGCGCTTCAATAACATTTTAGGGCATTTGAAATGCGGTACCATTGTGGGTCCTTTCCCCATCAGATAGTTTCAGATAGCTCTTTCAAATGTAAAATCATCCCATTTCTGTTTATCTATGTCTATTTACACGCCCCGCTCGGCTGCGCTCGCGCATTCGCAAACCAACACTATCTCCACCTTGACCAACGATACCAGGGACACAGATTGATATTTCCCAAGATATTCACGGATATGTCTCTGGACAATTAATGTCAATTGTTTTGGTGGACCTAGAGTTTGTCAAGCGCTCGGGGTCAATAAATGGGACTATTTTATTTGTGGTGGGGGGTATATGTGGACATAGGGAGTTCTTTTTGTCGAATTCCGAGATGTTTGGCGAAAAAAAATAAAGCTTACAGCACAAAAATTGTTTATATACTTTTCATAATTGACTTGAACTTTGTTATACAAAATTATCTCTTGACCAGGTTACATTGTAGTAAAGTGTAATAATGAAGAATATCATTAATCACAATGTTTTTCATTATATATCAGTGATCAGTAAAGTAGCATGGACGCTTTATGTATGGCAAGTTCCTGACGTAAATATGAAAAATTTACAATTATCTAGAATATGGAGCCGTAGATCTATGTTTATGTACTATGTTTATTACCACTGATCTGCCAAATTATTCTTGTCGCATATACAAAGTAGGTTCAATTTACAAATATCTCCAGATTTGCTAATTAATTTGATTGGAGTCGCTTGCTTGCTTGCTTGCTGAGAGCGACCGCTGGGGAGAGCTAGGAGACGGGAGCGAGCCATGGGAGATGGTTTAGAAGTTTGGAGACTTCACGTAGATGATGTACATAGTTAGAGAGCGTCAACAAATAAACGCAGATTGCGTTTTGAGCCCTTATAAAAGTTATTATTACATAGGTATGAAAAGATTTCATTACAACAGGTAAAAATTCCCTTCCATTAGTAGAGGTTCAGCTATTCAAATGATAAAGGGTTTTTATGAAAGCAACTAAGTGACTCTACAACACGCCCCAGGTATCAGCAAGAACATCTTATTTACACAGTTTGAATTCCTCTTCAGTACATCATATTTTATGTAGTGAAGACTCCATTCTGAGTGTCTTGGATTATTTGTACAAAGCAACTGTTGAAAGCATGTATTTTGTCCGTTATATCACTTTAGATTGTGTTTCCTGATGGGGTCGTATTCCTTTTATCCATTTACACAATCGACGCTGCCTCGGCTGCCTGGAATGGACGTAATGAAGTACATTAATAATATATGTTTTATCGATATTTATTATGCTTAAACAATTGAAAATTAAAAAACAACCGAGTTATGCGATTACGCGAATGAAAAAAGAAAAAAAAACGGAGGTGAACCAAGCGTCGATCTGTTTTCAAGGAAGTAAACAGATGAAATATTATTTTAATATTTAAAAATAGACACAGCTGTATTAACAAGAGATGGTAAATTACTACTTAGTTTTATATTCAATTCAATTTATTTCTGTACTGGTACAACAATACAATTGGTGCATTACCATTCTCTAATTTGTAATTGGATTGCCAGTTTGTGAATGAACGAGTATATATCTTTATATAACGAACAGATATACTAGTTAAGTTACTAATAAAATATTCAAGTTAGGCGGTGAGTCTAATTTTGAGATATATAATGAGATTCATAATGACATGGACATATATGTGTGGGATAATTAAGGAGCTGTGACATACTGCGCCACTTTTAAGCTGGGCCACCATATCTGTGGGAGTGGGGACGTTCTTAGCGGTAAATGAGGTACTGCTGCCAGGCTGTCTCCGAACGCAGGTTTCATCGCTAGCCCAACCTTCCACGAAACCTGCAGGAAAGGTGTTTAAACTTTAAACTTTAAATCAGCTGATTATACAAATTAAACTTATATATGGTGAACTTGCATTTTATAAAATTAAACACACATTGAATGTAAGCTTGTTACCTTCGAAACTTCTGAAATATTACCCGTAAAAGCAGCATGTGGCTCTTCGTTTTAGTTACTCTAAGTATAAGCGTTTATTACCACATTCAGGTTATTTAAAAACGCGCTATAAATAGCAAAAACATTCAAAATTGGTGTCCAAAGAGATAAGTGACAACCAAAAAAGAAAGTTCTAAAATAAACTGTACAGCTTACCAATAGTTTTCCCATTAAGAATGGACATTACAATATGACCGTACAACCCTGCCGTATACCTCTGCTTGGGACGGCTATATCGCCAACGCAATGAAAATGGTTACACTGTCGCGTTGTATGTCAGCCATTACGCGTACGTCCCATGCTTTTATTCTGTGAAGTAAACTGTATAAATATTTGAGTTTTAGTAAAACTGTCTTATTTTCCTCTTCAGAGTGGTTAACATTTCCTTCGCCGATTATTGATGCAGAAATTTGAAATCATGGAAAGTGGCGCTGCTCCTGCAGGTAACTTCAGAGCTTAAAATCAGAGCATTTCCAAAATCCAAAATCTTAAGTCCAAAATACACCCGGATAGCCTCATTCCCAGACGAAGATGCTCTGTTAGGCATCAAAATATTGAAAGTAAATTATTTCAATACTTTCATATTTTCACAACATAACACAGCTGATGAAACCCTTCGCTGGCTGTTTCCTTAGGTTTGAATTCATTATTACTGTCAACAAAACGCTGTAACTATCAATTTAATTGCGTCTTTAGGAAACCGCATTTTGATAGTACTGGTAGCAGTGTGTGCAATCGTCGCTGTAGTAGCCATAGTTATAGCTGCAATGGCAGTGTCAAAATCCTCGACCACTCCAAACATTACCATTCAAGGCGACCAAACGACAATAGGTGGCGGCACCTCTGCAGGACAAGGATCGTCTGCTGGGAGTTCCGGAGGGAACTCTGGCTCGGCAGTTTCATCATCATCTGGAGGAAGGATCTTCACGATCGCCATAGGACATGACGGGGGACCTCACGAATATATGTAGATAGATTTTTCTTTGGAAAAAATATACAAAGTTATCTCTGCCGACAGAAATACTGTAGTAAAAAGACGACGTATAAACCGTAATTGCTTATGCAATGCCAGTAGGCCCAAAAAACGCCTTCAAACCCTTCTAGGGTTTCAAGGATTTCATGATTTCAGTACTGTCGTTACTTTGATAAATGTATCTGTCATTGGGATATATTACGTACCTGTTTATGTATTTGGAAAAGTAGATAATAATTTTTCGGTTTTGATAAATAAATTCAAGCCTTTTTGTATATAATGAGAACTAAGGTAAACCAAAATATCCGTAAATAACAAAACTAATTTCTTGAAAGCAAAGTTGGTTATTAAAGACACCACAAAAATAAGAAAAAAATATGGCAAAGACAATCTTTTCTGTATGAAATTGAGGGGAATTCGGCAAAATTACAACAGTGTACAACAGTGTACAGCCATATCGTATAACGTTTTCAATACCACCGCTTTAGAAACTGTATCTATTCATTGACATATCTAAAGTCATTTCTTATGAGAAAGACATTTTAATCAACACACTGTGGTTTCCATAAAATTAGCAATAAAAGACTAAATTCTCACATATGAAACACGTTTTAACATTCATATCCATAACACATAGCTGTATTGTTCCTATTTCAGTGACACCACTGGCTACTTAGCAGGCTTCAATTTTGATTTAATCGACGCAGGTAAATCGACATTTCATTGTCATCAATATGTCAATTAATAATTGCATCTTAAATAATTTGATCACTGTTTGCCCCACCCCCACTCCTTAAAATAATTTGTCAAATTTCGCTTGTTGACCTATACTACAACTTGATGTGTTAGGACAAAATGGTAATCTTCCAAAATAGTCTCAAGTCACGCATCTAAACAAAATCAAGCGAGATTTCTAGGGATCTAGAGGAGAGTCGGGTCAAATACAGTGGCAGACTAGCTTGTATAGGGAAACAAGAAAAAAAGATGATGGAATTTATCCACGTTAATTGGTTATTTTTCACTTAGGTTTTTGTTGTCCTTTGCACAACAGTCCCAGCGTGAATTCACCATTATGAGTCACTTTTGTATTACGTAAGACTAGAAAGAAAACATTACCGGCGCACAGAGTTTCACCCTCAGCTCACGCTGGGTTTTGTACATTTTCTTGTCTTGTGTGACATCATCCATTACTGCCAGCATCGGTTTAGACCATCTCGGATTATTTCCCTTACAGGTTTATTGAAAAACATTGTGGGCAACATGCTGGGTTGATATATTAGCGCATATTGACAGATAGAGTCTGCATGTAAAACTGTGTCTATTTAATTTTGGAATCCTTTTTTTAATTTTGGAATATCTTTTTAGTTTGCACCGAGGCTGGCATGGACTGTCGTACTGTATGGGACAAGTACGTCAATTGTTGGGACTCCACCCCAGGACAACCCTCACACGGCGGCCAGGGTACGTGGTGTGTGTATGGGGGGGGGGGGTCTGTACTAAAATCGAGCATTAACAAGCTTAATCATCGCCGGAAAATGTGGCCCATTTTAATATGGCTTAAATAAAAAATACTGAATTAATCTTATTTGTCTGTTTTAGAAAAAAATGATTTATGTAGATATATAAAATGAATGATACTAAATAACTGAATTCCGTATCTTTAGGCATATGGCTTATTGCAATGAAAAAATACAGATTTATCCCTAATCTTAAAATGAATGTTTTTGATCTTGAAGAAAATATTACCTTTTGGTTAAAGTTATTTGGGAATCGACATTGCCCATGTAAGTTCTGTCTGACTACGTATATACCTGTTCTCAATATCTTTCTGAAGCATATAATATGCCTTGGTGTAGCGGCTTGTTTTATATCATTTATATCAACATTATTGGGGAATATAAATGAACCTAAACATAAGTAGACAAATATAACAAGCACTTGGTATTCAATATGTGTTCAAGTATATTATTCAACCTTTGTTAATTTCGCAAGAGAGACTGCGAAATTCGAAGTAATATTACTCGTAAAATGTTTTACAACCAAAAATATTTCAGGTTTGATGGGCCGTTGGTATGATGCTTGCACCGGGTGGTTTCCAACCATAGGTAGGGTTCAGGTCTTCAGCTTTTCTTCGCCATTCCTCAAGCCCCCAGTCAGCTATTTTTTCACGAAGACGGGGAACGCTGCTTCGTTTTCATCTAGAAATGTAGCTAACAAGAAAATCGGTAAGACACATATTTTGTTCAAATCATATAGCGCCGATTACTGTATCACATAGAAATATAAGCGGCAATTTTAGGAACAAAAGTTATTTTAAGTGTTTCAACAATAAAACGTCGTCAGCTCACAGTGTTATGTTCTTCAAGTTACAGTCTTTTTCTGTAATATTCCAAACAACATGCTGTCTTCACTCAGAAGATTCAGTAGAGGCTGCTAAACCACCCGTAGCCGTATTCCCTTATGAAGTTGTCTTGTTAGTCTTGTTTAGTTTTTCTTTTAATAAAACCGTGTATAATCTAGATTACCTATATCAATGTATTGCTATTGTATTGGCATTCAGGTAGGTAAATAAAAATACTAATATAAAATAGAAAAATAATCTCCTTGATTATATAAGGTTTCATTGATGGCTGGGCTAGTGACGAGAAATGTCTGGCCAGATGGACTGACGTCAAGGGTCGGGACAATATGACCGTCGTCCACGCTCCGACTCCTAGAGATATCGTTGCCAAGTTGAAAAGTGGAGAAGTAAGATATACAGCGTGTTCGATTCCGATTTTGAAATGTAGAAAGTGTTCAGTGTTCTTCAGACATTGCAGAGAAAACGGAATTTGACTTCGCCATATTTATTACAGGAGAACTGACATATTTGAATTTATATTGTGATATACAGTAGAGATATTTCATTTTCCAGTAAACAGGACTAAGCTACACACGTATGTTTGGTGCAAAAATAAGACCCCATTCCCATAGATTTTAGATCGATCTATCCCTGTGGGGAGTCTCACTAGATTACTGTCAGTTTAGCCGTGTGAAAGGAATGCATGTCCTATGGACGTGCGTTCCCTAGGATGTACTGTCCTACCCGGACCTAGATTCCCAGCTGTATTTATACGCAGCTGGGACATGTATTCCTGTTGGACATAATTTCCTTTCACATATACACAGAAACGCAAGTCCTACATAATTAATGTCCGTACAATAATTATAAACACGGGGCCATAAGCATCGGTAATTTTCGGTCGGCTGGCAGCAGCTTCCACACAGGCTCATCAGTAAGACGGCTGGATGAATGACCAAGAGCATAGAGAAACGTAAGTGAGTTCGAATCCTCAGCAGCGATGTTACTCTGTATGCAAATGTTATCCTAATTTATTCTCCATTTCAACGAACAAAACGCACTTTACAATTTGTTATACAATTTGGATTATTTTGATGAGGCGAGATTTTAAATGTTTGATTTAAATATCATCATTTTTTTAACGTTGAGCTATTTTAGAATTCCTTTAATAACTCGAATTTCATCGGATAATTATACCCAAAAAAGCATATTTTTTCTACTTTCACTTAAAAACACAAAGAATTAGAATGGGAAATTCAGGATCCATACATGTATGTAAGGGAAAAATTGCGCTCAGAAGACTAATAGTAAAAGTGCATGTATAAAAAATAACAGACACATTCAATTTATTTATCTTACAATTATACACGTCTCAAACTGCATATTATGTCTCTCAAACTACAAATATTCCCAAAATTCAAAGCTGTGTACCACAGACATACAGTTGTATGTAAATGGCCGCTTAACAACTATTAAGGCATTAATGTAATGTGAAGAGGCCCGACATATTTCACAAGGTGGCGCGAATCTCATATTTTTCATATTAATCGGACATAATATATATATATATATATATATATATATATATATATATATATATATATATATATATATCCTAAATCTAATAACAATTTGTAGTTTTTTATTTAAAATATCTTAAGTTAGCCGAATAAAGTGTGTATAGGGGTACATGTATACAAATAATTATAATAAGCGTAATAACATTCTTAAACATCACGTTTAAATCTTCTGAAATTAACTCATCATTCATATGAAAATGTCAGAGGACATCTATTACCAGTCTAGCTGGGAAAATATGTCCGACTAGGACATCGATACCTGTCTGCAGGACTTAGAATACTACGTAATGTATGTCCACTGGACGTTAAATCCCAGGAAATTATGTCCTAGGACATGCGTTCCTAGGAATGGAAGAGCCAGGACATGCATTCCCAGGACTTAGTGTCCGCAGGACATTAATTTCTAGGAATACATGTCCTACGGACATGCATTACGGCGGACATCCATTCCCTTCACACCGGCTTAAGCGTCTGTCCCGCCTACTAAAAGCTGTAAGGGGGTAATTAACTACGGTGCGCGCTCGAAATAATCTTTAAAGAATTTTACGTTTTTCTTCCGTCGGCTTAACTATGTTCTTAAAGGAAATTGAAAAATTAGTATTCTTGCCAATCGGTATTCCTATGACAATTAATTGACAATTATTTTTTTTTTCAAAATACAAAAGCTTATCATATATTAAATATATCATGGAATAAAGATGTGAATAACACGCGGAACACTGAATTCAAATTTATTTTATTATGGACTCCATATATTCTTTACTGCCAGTAATTGAAGCCCCGTGTACTAGTATACCTACATGGCTAATGGCGGCCATCTTGGATTTTCACATTTGTTATCCACCAGATATTTGTGTTATGGAGGTAAAAAACAGTTTGAAAAATAGGTGAATTTAACTTTATTTCATAATGAAGCCCTTAAACTGAAGATTGTATTCCAATAGTAAATGGCAACCACCTTTGAGTTTCCAAGATACAGGATTAAATAACTGATACAACACTGAGGAACATACTAGATTCACCACCGGTCGTTTTACTGTTCAGTGGTTAAAGAATGCTGCTGCTATTTTCAAGAGACACGTTTATCTAATAGACTGCATGTTATCTGTCGGATAGCAGTATGCTTTGGGGTGTTTTAAAATCCCAATAGTATGTTTTCATCGGCACATACTGATTAAGATGTTATAAAATTCACTCAGTCATCATCATGGCGTGTTGATTTCTGGCGCATTACATCAAGTTGCCATTATACAACACGCCAACAGATTATTAAACAGCCTTGATACGCGTTGTCTCGTAAAGTATGACCCATTTTTATGCCAAAAGCAGTCGTGCGTGCAGTTTGTGCGATACCCGACAGAGAAGGGTAGGTTGTACTGCTTTAAGGAATATTATATTTAATACATCTACAATGCATAAGTGGATTTGGTAAAACAATTAGAGAGGGTGAGACACAGACAGTAAATAAACAAAAGAAAAAGACAACCAACATTTCCATGGCGTAGCAAATTCCTCTTTGCATGCAGTCTGATCGAGCTGGGTGGATCTATTACCTCCCCCTGCCTCGCCTACCGCCTACTAAGGGTACTTGTACGGGTATTTCCCTTGCTTTTCCCTTCTCTTTACCTTCTTTGCTTAGAGGCCCTTAGTTAACGACAGGGGCCCATGTGTATTGACACTGTTATTGTGTGCTTATTTATTGTTCCGGCAAAATATGTTACACATACATTATACATAATTCTCTAGTCACATACATGTACCTAATGGCGTTATTTGTTTTGTACTACTCGAAATTCAATATTAAAACATCTTAATCAGCTTTCGTGAACATGTTTTCATCTCTAATAATAATAATAATAATAATAATAATAATAATAATAATAAGCTTCTTATATGGCGCCTTATATTCTACCTCAAGGCGCCTTACAATGAAAGACAATATAACTAAAATCATTAAAATGACTACAATATTTAAATTTGAAATTTTACAAAATGTGGCAAACAGCATCAAATGATATATCACTGTCAATAAATATAAATTTAAAGCTTCATAGTGTATTACATATTTGTGAAGTGGGTCAACAGTCTTTCGTCAAGCGTTCAAATACCTGGTGCAAGAGGCGCTTAAGATACTAAAAAGTAGCGCCAATTTATGTATTTTAAGAACTGGTGAATACGTGAGGCTTAGTAACAGTCCAGCGTAAGCACAAGTACACCTTCTCATTTTATGGTATGATGCAACGTTTAGTTAACTACTGTGATAATTAAGAAAAGCGTTGCTATAATGCTGTTTTCTTTGTCCTATCCCGACCTCTTTCATCACCCCTACACCGCAACACGACTAATTTCACATACTGAAACATCTTTGTATTCTCCTTGTGAACTATTATCAGGCAAGGTCTCTATTTTTTACCTTGTTTGTGAAATGTTTCAAAGACAGCACTGCAGGTAAGGGAGAGAGATAGGGAGCGTGTGCGTGAGTATTTGCATGTTTTTTTAATAACCCTTCGATTTGTTGGGTGCTTGTCTTTCCCTGCCTGGTTAATTTAATTTCTAGTCTTTTAACATGCACTAGTTCTCATACTATTTAATAACATTTACATTTACTAATAAAAATTAACTGATGCTCTCTCTCAACGTGAAATGGAGGCGCTGCCATAGTAAGGCCAACGTGCATTCTCCCTCGTGCACACTTTATTGTACCACCAGCGTTAGCGCTGGCGGTACACATGGTTTCGGTCCCGTCCGGATCGTTCCGCCGGCTCCGCCGGTTCCGCCGGCTCCGCCGGCTCCGCCGGACGGCTACCGTTACCGCTTCTCCTCCTAGACGGTAAGGGCCCCCGTACCCATCTCTTGGATTTAGGTCACCTATAATCTCAACTCGTTCCACGTAAAATTTGGGCTTTGTCGGTATTGGGGTCTAGGTGTGGCACTCATTGCAATGCACCCTTGTCTAAAAATGGCAAAATTAAATGCTAATTATCTACCCTACGGAAGGAATTATGGGAAAAATTTCTACAGACGGCTTTCCAAAAGTCATATGTGTAGATTTCAAATATGCCCTTGGATTTGACCTTTGACCTTTATTTCAAGGTCAAACGGGCCAAAATTTTCAAAAAAATTAATTTTTTTA